TATATACAGGAGCACCTGTTTTAACAGACATTCAAATACCTCGATAGAAGCGCTTGAATATGTAAAATGACATTCGGTAGAGTTGGAGTGGCTCGGTCCGATCCACTTTGTCTGTTTCCACTTCACAGAGACAGGGCTGTGTATGAACACAGGGCTATGTATGAACACACACAACAGACAGCTAGTGAACCGTGAGGAAATATTGACAAGTGTGGTTTAGAATCACAGACACCACCTTTAAATACACATTTGTCTTATTAGATTTAAAATCGGGTTATGATGGAATTTTTACGGACAAGTCAAACTCAACCACTGGACATCACTTTGTGAGTTTGAGTATTATTATTATTATTAAAGGACTGATGGCCAAAAGCTGCACTGAAAATAAGACTCATCTTATAAAAACTATCACTTCAGATGAAGCTCTGCATCAACGACTATAAGAGCTGTAAAACTCTAAGGCCGAGTGTGTTGCTGTCGTTGCTGACTCATCATTCTCCGACAGGGCCCATGTATCGTCTGGAGAAGCAGACGGAGCCAAACGTCTCTGTGGACCTGGACTCGACACTGGAGAGCCAGAGCACCCTGGAGTTCTGCCTGGTCAGAGAAAACAGTAAGTAAACCCACAACTGCCTCATCTTCTCAACGCCGGTCACACTCTGCCAGCTTCACCATCATCACCAACATTTGAGAGGGTTCTGACAGGGATCACACATCTTGACTGAAAGAATACATCACTACAAAATAAGATTCACATTTGTTTTCCACTCAGTGGTGAGATCTCTAGGACACTGTTTCTAATAAAAAAAGATATATTGCAATCCGTAATGTCTTCATGCAGACATTACAAAGTTATAAGGCTGTAACAAATAGCTCAAAGCGTCATGCATAACGTCGACATTGAATTCAACATTGAAGTCCAGCTTTTTTCTTCTATTCATTCTGTTTAAACCTGGTATTTCTGCACGGGTGCAGATTAAATCGGTGATCAGTTTTTCCCCTAAATTCATTCTGCGGCTGCAAATTATGAGCGCCGCTGCTGGAATTTCACACCATCATTAATATCCTCTGCTCTGTTTTATCCCAAAAATCTGTCCACCTCCAAATCCCAGCATTTAAGAGCTCGCTTCAACCCTGTTGTCAATTTGTGCCTGCTCTTCCTTCTGTCTGCAGGCTCCAGGGGCGAGGAGAGCTCCGAGGAAGACCCCCCTATTGACATCACCACGGTCCAAGACATGTTGAGCAGCCACCACTATAAGTCCTTCAAGATCAGCATGATTCACAAGCTGCGCTTCACCACAGATGTCCAGCTAGGTACATGCTGCTTACTCACACATGTCCACCTCCATCAGCTGTAGCTTGGTCCACGGCTCCTCTGCCAACAAATGTGCGATGATGTCATGCTATGTAAATTAGCGTATGATGTCATCTGCTGACTTTTGGAGCTAGTGCTAGCTAGATCCATTGGCACAGGACACACTGCATTTTGTGACTTTGCTTGTTCCACCGTCCACCATTTTGTCCACTGGGGACAGTTACTGCAAAGAACGTACATTGATGCTGTCAGCTGTAACTCGGGATAGCTAAGGATAGCAACATTTTCCTGGGAGATCGTACCCGGTGGCATAGACAGTCTTGATACTGAATCAAACTGATAGTCGACGCTCAGCTGTGGAAGTTTAGGTGAGAAAAACACCAGCTTTGCATTTTGATCTATTGTGCATACACAAACTGTGTGCCGCTACTGCCGACCAATACACATGTTCTTGGTTGCAATTTAGCTGATTTAGTGAAAACAATTTTGATTCCGGGATATTGTGTTTTTATAAACCCAAACTGGTCTCTTTCGTTAAAATTCTTTCCTTCCAACTTCTTTATTATAGACCATTATAGTCCTGCCCTGATCACCTTCTTGACAGTCTCTTCGGAAAGGGTTCTCCGGATCTTTTTATTTTATTATAAACCCAAAAACCAAAGTACTGGACACCTTAAAATGTTTGAGCTTATGATAGAGGAAAAGTCAAATGGCATCCCCAAATGTATTAAAACGTATCCCGAGTGGAACATTTCTGCGTGTACCAAATCTCATGACAGTCCATCCAATAGTTGTAGAGATACTCCGTGTAACAGGAACGCAGCAGTTTGTGCATAATAACATGCATGTAGTCCAACAATGCATGGTTATCATGTGTATGCAATATGTCTTCCATATCCGAACGGACTCAACTGTTTCTTTAGGTGTTTCAGGAGAGAAGGTGGAGATCGATCCGGTCACCAATCAGAAGGCCAGCACCAAGTTCTGGATTCGACAGAAACCCATCTCCATCGACTCTGACCACCTCTGTGCCTGCGACCTCGTAGAGGAGAGAAGCCCCAGTGAGTGGACCACACAACACGCCTCTACATGACCGTAACAGCACAAACATGCGGATACATGCGCACAGCTTTTCTCTGTGAAAAAAGTGCTTTAAGCCTTACTTCACTGGGATGAACACAACACATGACTGTGGCCTTTCCTTTAGGGATTAAGATTATTGTGTGGCCTGTGGAATTTAAACTGGCTTTAACCTTAATTTACCCGACCTCATGGGCCAGACTAAGAATTTAGAGTCCAATCTGATCGGTCAAGTCTTTCAAAGTTAAATTATTGAATGAATGTTGAACTGAGAGATTCCAACTTCTGACAATAATATGACACAAGTGGCTAATCATGTTCCGGGAGACGTTTCCTCGTCTGTTGTTACAGAGTGGTGTAACAGAAGCAAAACGAGCTACTCTGAGAATTCATGTAAACATTCTATGATCTTTGTCATTTTAACTGCCTTGAATTCTTCAGTGACATTTTCTGTTGCATGTAATTGGATTACATTTGATCATGTTAGAGCTGATAGAGCCAATGAAAGCATGAATACAGTCACTGTGAATATGTATTGTGCCTTTTTTTTTCATGTAAAGATATTTTCATATTAATTGTGCTGCCAGTCCTTTTCATATTATAGCGCCTTCCTCTCACATAATAATCCATAGTATTCAGCCAGCCAAACCAAAGTGACATTTTGCTTAATCTTGTCCCGCAAAAACAATTATTTACAATTTCCTCTTCTTTTGTCCTGCGTGTGGTCTTCCTCAGCCCTGAGGACAGGGGACTCCTTCGTGGTGTCGGATCACACAAAGACATGGCTGAAGATGTGCAGGAAGAGAAGGCGTGTCCATTGTCTGTCTCATTAAACACTGTTTTTCCTCCGTGTCTTACAGGTCATGCAATATTTAAGCTCACTTATCTCAGCAACCACGACTACAAGCCGCTCTACTTCGAGTCTGATGCTGCTACTGTCAACGAAATAGTGCTGAAGGTGTGTTCTTTTTCACCGTCTTTCTATTTCTTGAGGGCAACTGTTCAGTGCTGGCATGAACTGTTCCTCCAGCTCATCCTTCAGGCCTTAATGAGTTCTGTTCCAGGGCGCCTTCGTCTCAATGTTTATAGTAGCAAAGTACAGTTTAAATGTACAAGTTTCTTACTTGAGTATTTCCATTTTTATCGAGTATCTAGTTTTATTTCACCGCCGTACTCTTCTGTCTGAGATAATAGCCCTGATGATGTCATAGTGATGTAATCAGGGTTGGAGACCTCAGACAGGAAGCCTGAGTTCTAGACTGGAGGTGAGGGTCAAATCTAGGATCCAGTGGTTTTCGAGCTAGAATGAAGGTCTGGTTTGAAGATGGGTGCGGTAGGAGCAAGGGAGCCCAAAGTATGACAGTAGAAGGAATGCTGCTATAGCGTCGCTCAGCTCATTGTTTTGCTTTCACGTCTTTTAGTGTTTTGGTTCTGTTTTCAGTGGAGAAGCTCTGATAAACCCCATGTACACAACCTGTCCAGCATCAAACAGCAGACAGACACAGTTCAGAGACTAGCTGATGAACTGATGGAGCATTTTGCAGCTGCAGAGATGCAGAGATATTTCCCTCAGGGGTTGGTGGAGACCAAAACAGAGCTAAAAGAGAGGGAAGATTAGACTTAAATGTATCAGGTGGACACAGAAAGCACTTCCAATGTAAGCTAACACTCTAGTCTACTAATCTGCTGTTTGCTAACACATTCTCCGCATCAACTTTTTAAAGTTGTTTGTTAGCCCACGAGGCCCAAAATCATTGAATACTCCTACCTCAGTTATTGATTGAAGAGCATGAATGATCTTGTGCAAACAGGTTCTGAAGAATGTGTCGTATTAAATATGTTGCACATAAATTAGTTGTTGACGAATAAAAACGTAATACTTCACATAAAAAATATGAAGACCTACATTTATATTATTTCATTACAATTGTGTAGTTGTTGATGCATTGATAAACACTTCAAAATGTCCTACACTTTCTGCTTAGAACTACATATGTCGCAGTCACACTCGTCTTTTCAATGTGACTTTTGTGACCGGATGCCGATCAGAGCTCAGCTGTCCTCATCATGTTCACACTTGACACTTCAATGTGACCTGTCTGATCAGATATGGTGCTTTTTGCCCGAAGAAGAACCATTAAACGGTGGATGGACACATTTCATTTTTACATAAATTATTCATAATAAAAGTCCCCCATTATTTTTGCTGCTTACTCTTCCTCCCTGCAGAATTAGTAGACGTCTTTTTATTTTAGGATAGCGGCTAACAAAGCTCAGCTAATTCGGCGGTGAACATATTGTCCTGTAAATTGGTCACATCAGATCTCTATGCGAGTCAGATCTAGGAGCGAACAGACTTAGTCTTAGGTTAGAGTGCTACTATGGTGGCGATCATCTCTGTTATTTCATTGTATTTACGGTAAAGGCCTGTGACTGTCGGAGATAAAGAGGTTCAAGGTGAAGTTTCAAATCAACATTCTCAAACGCATCATGAATGTTTATTTTCAGGTGAACTATATCCTGGAGTCCCGAGCCAGCACCTCTCGGGCCGATTACTTTGCCCAGAAGCAGCGGAAACTGAGCCGGCGGACCAGCTTCAGTTTCCAGAAGGAAAAGAAGTCTGGCCAGTAGACCGACTGAAGCTGCTCAGCCACCTGTCTGTCTGCATAGGCAGGGACAGACGCGTTGACGGGGCCCGACAGTCTCAGACACGGACAGCATTCGGCTGAACCGAAGCGGAGACTGAAAGGAAAGTCAGGTCAGAGGAGACGGGAGGAAAACGGACCAGGAAGACGTGTCTCTGCTGGAGCAGGGGGCCGGTGGAAGCCTCTGAAACTCCATGGTGCAAAGAGAGCCCACGACCAAAAGACCAACAAATTGCTCTTCTTTAAAGATATGTGGGACAGAGTTTTGGCTGTCATGTCACCGTCGTTCATTCACTGCCTCTGAATATGAGCTCCGTCCTTCAGGATGGATTCGTACAACTTCAACAAACAAAACAAAGCTAAATCTTAGCTTCTGTTTTCCATCTTCAACAGATTCAACAACAGAGAATACCGTGTACATTTTTATGTACTGTACATAGAAAATTCACATTCAAGAATTGAAATAATGATGTAATAGAAATAAAATAGCCCAGTCTGGATTATTAAAAACAGGTCAATACCCTTCTGCCTTGAATCAAGATAGCAAATCCTCAAAAGTTGGAACATTTCTATTGCCTCTTTGCGGCTCTCAACATGGTGACGACTGAGCCGGCGGCTTGCAGCTAACGGTGCAAGCAAGGGCACAAGTACTCACGGAGCTTATCTGAGGGGGAACCGGAGGTTTGGCGCTAGGCTTCTGGGACAAAGCTGTCCGTTGGAGGCTGAGTTATCAGCTGTATCCTCCGTATGAGAGCAGTGCAGAGCGGTGGCCGTGAGCTAACCAATGGGGCACGCTCACATGCACTAAAAGGCACGTGCGGCCGGCCCGGCTATGTAAACGAAGCACAGATAACAACACACACAGAGGGAGAGCGTCTATATTCTCTGCTCAGGTAGACATTACTCCTCCATATCTTTAAATATTATACAATTGATAATTGTTTGCTGCTAGGTTAATGCTCTGAATATCCAATTTAGCACCGTTAATATTGTCTACACTCCGTTCATTAGGTTCATCTTTTCTCACATTGTGTTACGTTATACTGACAGGCGTTTAACCTCGACGATATGACCGGCATGGACAAAATAATAGAAACACCTCTCCCTCTATTAGTCAATATGGCTCAACAGCACCACAAGCTACAGCCTCCATAATGCCCCCCCCCCCTTTCTAAAACTGGATCTGTTGGATCAGACTGCATTAGTCTGAGCTAGGTGGACCTAATAAACAGACAGCTGAGTGTATTAACAGTGCTCATTGTAATTTGGAAGGGTGAGACCATGGTACAGTTTTAAGATATCAATACATGTATGCTTCAGCCGCTGAGAGAAACGGTTAGTGTGAGCTTCTGAGTTCTAGATTCCACATTTAGTCATTGTGGTGGAGCTGAGGTAGAGCGAGCGAGCACCACGGCTGAGTGCGATGGGTAGAGACACCCGTCAATCAAACCAACACGCCCCCCGGACATAAGTCTCAGAAAGCCTAAAAGGTACCTTTTCTTTTGCTGCTAGCAGTGCTATGCAGCTGTGATTAGCTGAAGCTCACACAATACATAGCCTATTCCACAAACGGTGTTACCAAATACTGCTGGCCAGTTTAACACACA